TCGACCTAAAATTTGTCGATTTTCAACGAAATAGCAAGGGTAATTTTGTCGAAAAATGTTCAGTTCAACAATATCGGCGAAAAAACTTTCCAAAACGTCAAGAATTTTAGAGATTGGGCAATTACATTAAAAGTGATTGACGAAAGAACCGATTTTCACCTAGAAACTTTTTAATTAGTGGTCAGTCTTGAAAATTTTGACAACTTCTTCTATCGAAAAATTACTGGTACGAATACGAACGGGAAAAATCTGTTCTTTTTAGATTTGACCTTTCGAATAAAATCTGCAGGTTAAAACGAAAATTTTATAAACTTTGTATAAGCCCTTCGTTTAAAAAAATCTGAATTTTATTTAGGTATGTTAATTTTAATCGGTGTTCAATTAATTTTATTGATGTCTCGTAGTTTTTATAGACATACGGCTAGCTCAATAACTTTCCTACGTGACCCAAAAGATTAAATTACAATTAAATACAATTGTCAACATTTTTTGTTTACCACACATACTAAAAAATACACACCCCTTTTTTCAAATAGTTAAAAAAACTATGGGGCATTTAGCAATAAAACAAAAAATAAAATCTATGCAATATATCAGGGATCGGGGAGTGTTCCAAAAAAAAAATAACAAACGCACTATTAATTTCTACGGGTTCTGCGCCTAACTCTGCGAATCGTCGAAAATTTTGAAAATCAAAATAACACTCCACCCCATTCAAACTATACTTGCCCACGCCAGTATCTTAGCGCGAATGAAAATTGAAAAAAGTCGAAAAAATGGAGGATTTTCGACCACCGCTCAGCTAGCACAGATCTTTGGAAGTTGAAAACTTGGTTGACACTACTCTCAGGCATCCTAACAACATAACAATCAGATTTGCTTCATTTTTTTCGATGTTTGCCTTTTTTTGTCTTACCTACTTGACTGGCCTATAGTACGTTTCATTGGTATGGAAAGAAGTAGTAGTAAAAGTTGAAAATTACATTCAGCATTCGTTTGATATAATTTTACGATATAAGAAATTCCATGCTGCATAAGATTGTTGTTAAAAGTTTCTATTTTTTGAAATCGGTTTTATTGTTTTTTTTAATATAGCTTCCAATTACACCCGACTTTAAATTTTCTGGAATTTTCATATTAATGCAAAATACATTGTCCGTTTGACAAAATTTCCACCTTGGATACCTAATATTAAAGTTGAAAAACTTGAAGTATTAAATTATATGCATTCGTTGGAATAACTGTAGCGCATTTTTCTCTTCTAAATTTTCTGGTGACTGGTGCATTCCGAGAACTTGTCCAAAGTAGTAGGTACTAGATAATCGTGGTGCAATTACTTTGAAAAAGAACTCAAAGCTTTCTTTCAGATTAATTGCAACTCTTCTGTTATCGCAAGCATTTTTGCAATTGTAAACCCTTTTTAGTATGTAATTGCGCGCTCTTTCTACATGATATTGCAAGGAACTTCGTTTATCGTTTTCAAGTAGCATGAAGAATGCTGAAACTATACTTAAAAAAAAGCTCTAGAATAGAGGTTCTTTTTTAATGGAAAATTAAAGAAGTTTTTTATAGCTGAAAAATAATTCGTAAGCGATTACTATTTGTAAGAGCTCGATCCAGCTCTGATTTCAACGAAGTGGATATAGATTAGAATAGAAACGAAAAAAGTTAAAAAATTTCCCACATTGTCTTGTTTTTGTAAATCTTTGGTTTTACACCCTTCGCCACTATTCTGTTATAATTATACTGGGTACCAAAGACGCTTTTGATTGCAAAGACGTGTTATTGTCTTATGTCATTTCTGGTACTACGGGTACAACCGGATGACTTCATCCTTATTCCTTAGCACTTTACATTGAAACGAAAGTTCAGTGATACTATGTTTTTAAAAAAGGCAAAAACCAAACCGCAGAGAATAAATATTTTGAAAGTAAGAAAATGTTTCTCATTAGGCAAGGATGAGAGTATGTTGCCAATATTATAATTTGTAAGGTACTCACAAGAAATAGTGACGAAGATCTTGCAGGCCAATATTACCATATCTCCAACACAAAATGTATGGAACGCGTGGTGAGGACGTGGCTTCACCTGGCTGCTCTAGTAGCGGCGTCCAACGAGTGACATACTAAAATGTAAAACTGTTAGGTATACCTTCACTCAATAACTCACACAAAAGTGCTTTTATAGATATTGATTGGACGGTATGAAAACAAGTTATTTTAAGGAGCACTTTGAGGGTTGGACCACCCACAACCTACATTGCATACTGAACTTTAAAAAATACGGCTCAATAACACGATCCCCATCTTACCTCTAAGCACAAATTTGAAACCAATTTATTGTTTAATTTAGGTATTCGGTGAAATTTATTGCTCACGGTACGAGCGCACTAAAAAGTCAATTTAATTTTTTTTTAATAATGACCAGGATAATGACTGACGCAATCACTCCGTCACAGAGGTTTTAGCAGGAGATGAAAATGTTAAAAGTACAGTTCCTCCTCCAAAACTAAGATTTACGTGTCTGAGCGTATTTGCAAAAAGTAAACCTGGATGAAAACTCCTCGATGCTCCACCTAATCCATGCCATTGCATTAATTAGGTATTATCATAAAATCAAAACTCACTTTTTTCCCGTAAAGTTCCAAGACAACATCGCGTTGGTAATCGACGAATTGAATCCATAAAAATTCCATCAGAAGCAATGGAAGTGGAAACATTTGACGTACCCGGGTATTCCGTTCCAAAGTGGTGTTGGACCTTCCACAATTCTGGTTTACGTATAAGAGCAATTTGTCATTAATTTATTTGCAAGAAGAGAATAGGTGAAAACTTCTCGATGTGCCATCCACGTTGGACGTTTAGATGTCATACGCGCGGAGCGCACACAACCGCTATTATTGACGATTTATTCGCAAATGATTTACATTGAGGACTAAATAAAATTGTAACTGCGATTTAGATCAAACAGATGCTACTTGACCACATGCCTACATAATCCTTATATAAAGAGTGACGCACCTGAAACAATTCGATCCTAATAATTCGGCAACTGAAAGAAATATACAGTGATTTTGATTTGCTTTTGGGCAGAAAAACCGCTTTCCCAAAAAGTAAAAGGCTATAACTTTTGATGTAGTGGTTCAATCTGGAAAAAGATGGTTTTGGATTCTACAGGTAACAATCTATACGAAAAAGTCATTTTCCGGTCGATTCAAAATTTGTCGATTTTCGGTGAAATAGCAAAACTATACTCTAGCTTGTCTGTTGGGAAAAGTGGCTTGTCCGAAATGAATCTTTTATAAACTTCGTCCTGTAGGCTCCGAAACATCCAGAATTTTCAAGATCGGACGACTACATAAAAGTTCTATATGGAAAAAACTTTTGATGCGGGGATCCAATCTTGAAAATTCTGGTCGTTTTGGATTCAACAGGTTAAAATATATTTAAAAAAATCATTTTCCGGGTCGATCTGAGACAATTTTTTTTGAGGGCCTAAAAAAAGGCAATGTTTTACCTTCCTTTTTAACCAAAAATAGACTGCACCAAAATTTCTCAGGAAAACACTTTTTCTTATTAATTTTGGAGTGTAGAATCCAAAACAATTCGTATTTCTTCGATCAGACTTCTCAACATGGGCGCCGCTACATAGGGGCAAGGAGGGGCCTTGGCCCCCCCCCCCTTGGAAAAGGGAAAAATAAAAGGTAACACTTGTCGTAAGCAACACAACGGGCAAGGGCCATGTAATCGTTTCCCTTGCGTTGCGTATTCACTTGAGAAGTGCATAGATCTCTTTGGAACAGATAATAGAAGAGTTATGTTTTTGTTTAAATAAAATGAAACGCAATAAGTTTGTTACTGGCACGTAACCTTGAGTTGAGTGCATACCCTACCCCCTCCACTCACGTCCATATTAATGGTGAGCTTGCCCCCTCCTACAAAATTTCCTGGCGGCGCCCATGCTTCTCAATCAAAAGTTATAGACTAGAAAAGAAACCAATTTCGAAAGAAAATTCAAAGGGCTGTAACTTTTGAACTAGTAGCCCAATCTTCGAACTGTTTGAAATTATGGATTCTACAGGCCACATTCTATAAGAAAATTGTTTTTCCGGGTCGATCTGAGACAATTTTTTTTGAGTGCCTCAAAAAAAGGCAGTGTTTTACCTTCCTTTTTTACCAAAAATCGACTGCAAATTTCTCGGGAAAATACCTTTCTTATTAATTTTGGTGCGTAGAATCCAAAGCAATTCGTGTATATTATAGTA